TTCCTTTATAGCCCAACATTAGCCACCTTTAGCTTAGCGGTGGTGACGTGAAGTCATGTGACCGTGCTGTAGTTCCTTTATAGCCCAACATTAGCCACCTTTAGCTTAGCGGTGGTGACGTGAAGTCATGTGACCGTGCTGTAGTTCCTTTATAGCCCAACATTAGCCTCCTTTAGCTTAGCGGTGGTGACGTGAAGTCATGTGACCGTGCTGTAGTTCCTTTATAGCCCAACCAACATTAGCCACCTTTAGCTTAGCGGTGGTGACGTGAAGTCATGTGACCGTGCTGTAGTTCCTTTATAGCCCAACATTAGCCACCTTTAGCTTAGCGGTGGTGACGTGAAGTCATGTGACCGTGCTGTAGTTCCTTTATAGCCCAACATTAGCTTTTTACCTCAGGAGATTGCATTTACGCCTGAACTATCGTCAAGTGGTGTTAATATGTGGAGATTATCCGACTGAACAAAATGTGTAAGCATCATAAACTTGTGTTTGCCAAAGAGCTTATTTTTTGCAAAATGATATAATCTAATAGAAAGATCCCTTGGCGTTTTCTCGATGAACCCTTGCGATGCTTACTTCTAGGTGGGCCTACAACAATACATCATCACTGACTGAACTACTCTATACTTTCAAGTCTGCTCTTGGCTTCATACAGTATATGATGTTAAAACTCCTTTTATTAACATGAAATGATCCTTTTCTCCTGCAGGCGTCTTCCTGATCCCCTACATGCTGATCGTGTTTGTCGGAGGAATCCCGGTCTTCTTCCTGGAGATCGCTCTGGGACAGTTCATGAAAGCTGGCAGTATCAACGTCTGGAACATCGCTCCACTCTTTAAAGGTGCAGTACGCCACAAATGTTTTGTTTTAAAACCACAAAACTTTGAGTCTGTAGCATCTTTACAAATACAATGAAACTTGGAAGATTACCTCAAAAACCTGACAACATTTCACACAGTAGGGAGAATTTAAGAATGGATCGAGTTCGATAATGAATTCATGAATTGTGCATCACTTGCAGCTAATATTCATATTCTGCACTTTCTTTTTGAATCACGATTAATTGTGCAGCCCTGCTATCTGCCCAGACTCTCAACAGATATTGTGCAAATGATATTTCAGCAGAAACACGGCCATAAACAAGTGTAAGTCAACACATTTTACAAGTGTTCCAAGTAAAGTGTGCACACTTTCTTCAGGGAACAAATAAAAAGCGGCATTGACTTCTTTCAAATGAAAACCATTGACTTCCCTGTTTGAGGTCACGTTGCCTTGACTACAGGTATACATTTGTGGACACAGTAATCAGGTGAAGGTCAGTCTGCAAACACACATTTCTATCTAAGTTTATCTGAAGTTGATTATCTGTGATATGCTGCTGTATACGTGCTTGCAGACACGGCTGGAAAATTACCAGGGAAATGCACACACACACACACACACACACACACACACACACACACACACACACACACACACACACACACACACACACACACACACACACACACACACACACACACACCTTCTTTCATGCCGCCCAATTCCTTTACATCTCTAGTAGTGTTACACACACAGTGATTATCAGATGCTGGATCTTTACAGGTGACCACATGACTGTTAATGACATGTGTTTTAGTGTGTGTGTCAGTGTGTGTGTGTGTGTGTGTGTGTGTTAGTCAGTGTGTGTGTGTGTGTGTGTGTGTACTACACAGACCACCTTCTTCTGACCTTTAAACTTCAGGTGGTGTTGACACAGCTCCGCCTTCCCATTCATACAGCCTGACTTATAAGGAAACAACACCAAAAGTCAACACCCCGATGATTCATCTGCTCTGAGAGTATTTAAGGCGAAATTAGTTTTACCTGATTGTGTCACTAGAAAAAGATCATCATCCATAAAGGGAAATATAAATATATCCACTCCAAAATCGAATGGGTTTTTCCTTGGCGAATGATACACCCGTTCCCCAAGTATAATTAAAATCCGGCCAGTAGTTCTACTTTAATCCTGCCTAACGGACAACAAACAAAGCTAAAAACACGACTTCTGTGCACACGTCACGTGTGACGAGTCAACGTGGATTAAATTGAAATCCTCCATTTGTATATCCCAAAGCTTGTGTTGCCTGGTTAGTTCCTGACCCCTCTTCTCATGTCCTCCTCAGGTCTGGGTTATGCCTCCATGGTGATAGTGTTTTTCAGCAACACCTACTACATCATGGTGTTGGCCTGGGCCTTCTACTACCTGATCAAGTCCTTTAACTCCACCCTCCCTTGGTCCACCTGCGACAACGAATGGAACACGCCCAACTGCATCGAGATCTTCCGCCACCAGGACTGCATCAACGGCTCGCTGGCCAACGATACTATCAACGGAAACATGACCTGCGCCGAACTCGCCAACGCACGGTCGCCCATCATCGAATTCTGGGAGTGAGTTCTGTTTCATTTACCTTTTGGGTTTTGGTGAACAAGCAAGCGTGGGTTGAACTGAAACTGTTGGTGTGAACAGGCCCGTACCCAGGATTTCGTAAATACCGAGGTCCAAAACATGCTAGGGGAGCTCGGGGGCAGGTCCCCCCCAAATAATGTGTGCACACAAAAGCATTTAACTCTGGGCTCAGCAGGTCAGAAACTAAAGAGGGGCTTCCACATGTGGCAGACCAGGTGTTGCTGCAGGATTTGGCACCCCCACTATAACTTCGTCCAGGGTGGTCGTACTGTCACCAACATCCCACTGGTGTTTGCTGTCCCCCCTGTAGTGTGTGCACACAAAAGCATTTTACTCTGCATATATTCATATATATATTTTTAAATTATTCTTTGCCTTTCAAAAGCATTACATCATTATTTACACAACACAAAAATAACTTAATGAAAAGTATTTATTTCACCTTCCCTTATTATACATCCATGGGTACAAGTCCGGACTGCGGCTGCTTGTTGATAAATTGATGTTGTCTTCTTCTGTTTGCTTTAATGTAGGCTACTTAGTTGTGTAGCGCCCCCACTGCCAGTAAATGGAAGTACTACAAAGAACCCTGTTAATTATGTGCAGTTATTTCACGAGTTTTATTATATACACCTCGAAAAAATTACCGAGGTCCGGACCTTGGTGACCTCAATGGTGTGTACGGCCATGGGTGTGATTAGTCCTGATTCATTTGGGGTTTTATCTCTTGGTTCTCGGTTGGTGGGTCTTTGGGTTTCCAGGCCTTTGTTGTCTTGGGGTTGTTGAATAATTATTTACTTTAGCTGCTGGTTAGAGGGTTTTTGAGTTGAAGTAAGCTTTTGGGGAACAAGTAAGCTTGGGTGAGTTTTGTTTGGACTGGAACTGGTATTTTAATTAGTCCCGATTAATGTTGGGTCTTTGGGTTTCGGTTAATGGGGCTTTGTCAGTCAAAGTCAAAGTCAACTATATTGTCAATCTTTCAGTTTGTGTGTACAGACAGAGAGATCGAAATACCGATTCCTGTTTAAGTTCTGGTTAGTGGGTTTTTGCGTTGAGGGATGTTAAAGAATTAGTTTTCTTTGGGATCCTGTTATTGGTTCCATGTCTTCTTCAGGGATGATAACGAATTGTTTTCTTTAGGTTCTGGTAAGTGGGTCTTTGTTGTCTTGGGGTTGTTGAATAATCGTTTACTTTAGGTTCTGGTTAGAGGGTTTTTGAGTTGAAGTTGAGCTTTTGGGGAACAAGTAAGCTTGGGTGAGTTTGGTTTGGACTGGAACTGGTATTTTAATTAGTCCTGATTCATTTGGGGTTTCATCTGGGTTCTCGGTTGGTACTTTTCATTAAGTTATTTATCACAACGTTTGGAAATAACAAGAACAAAAGGTTATATAAAGCGTAAAAATTTGCTAAGATTTGCAGGCTAGTAAAATCCGTCACTCAAAATCCTATTACTTACGAAGTATAAGCATAACAATTTCCTTTAAGCACTAATGTTGAAAGTACCAATTTTAGAACATTCATATTATTGAATTATAAATATTGATGCCATAATGTAGCTTTGTTTTCTTACAATATTTCCATCAGAGATTTAGTGGGGTAGAAGTATGAAGTAGCATAACATGGAACTATTCAAGTAAAAGTTTATCAAAATTATACTTAAGCACCTGAGTAAATACAAGTACTCAATTCTGTCTATAACTAATGCTGAGCAAACTTCTTTAAAATGGAAAACAAATTTGCAAAATAGGGAACAAGACACTGTTACCATGAATATTGACTAAAACAGTTTCATCCTCTTTTCACAAAATGTAAAAATACTTATAACATAGCTGCAGCTTTATTAAAGTTTATATTTTCTTATATAAACATGCAGAGAGTTCAAACTGAAGACGTGACCTTCGTGTTACAGTTGAGTTTTTATCTGTCATTTCTGCAGATTATGTTTTATTGCTGCAGCGGATTAACCTCCTCCTGGTGTAAATCTCTTGATCCCGTCTGAAGCACGGTGCTGTGTTCCTCACTGCTACAAAACCCCCAAAACACCAACACAGCCCACGTGGAAGCAGAGAAAGACATAAGGCCTTGACACACTTACACAAAAGACTTTTATCCGCAGATCCAGAAGGACTGCTATCTTATTAAAGCAGATTTAGAAGGCTTTTGATTGCTATCAATAAAGATTGATTAGATGTGATACAAACTCTTAAAGGACTGTAAAAGGATTAGTGATCAAACTGGTTTCTGACACAGGTCCTGATTTTAAAGGGAAATATGGTTTTATTCTATATTTTCTTTCATTTTCTTTCATGACGACCACTTTCACTTTTAAAGGGGCCCTAATATGCTTTGTTGGATTTTCCCTGGACTGGACCGTGTTCTATAACTTTTAGTGCATGTAAATGGTCTGCAAAGGCTAAAATCACTGTTTCCTCCTCTGTACAACACACTCCGACCACTTTTTGAACATTAAAGCAGGAGACATGTCACAGTAGAGACACTACATACTGATATACACCTGAACATCAGCAGGAGAGGACTCTTTAAAGTAGAGACACTACATACTGATATACACCTGAACATCAGCAGGAGAGGACTCTTTAAAGTAGAGACACTACATACTGATATACACCTGAACATCAGCAGGAGAGGACTCTTTAAAGTAGAGACACTACATACTGATATACACCTGAACATCAGCAGGAGAGGACTCTTTAAAGTAGAGACACTACATACTGATATACACCTGAACATCAGCAGGAGAGGACTCTTTAAAGTAGAGACACTACATACTGATATACACCTGAACATCAGCAGGAGAGGACTCTTTAAAGTAGAGACACTACATACTGAGATACACCTGAACATCAGCAGGATAGGACTCTTTAAAGTAGAGACACTACATACCAATATACACCTGAACATCAGCAGGAGAGGACTCTTTAAAGTAGAGACACTACATACTGATATACACCTGAACATCAGCAGGAGAGGACTCTTTAAAGTAGAGACACTACATACTGATATACACCTGAACATCAGCAGGAGAGGACTCTTTAAAGTAGAGGCACTACACACTGATATAAACCTGAACATCAGCAGGAGAGGACTCTTTAAAGTAGAGACACTACATACTGATAGACACCTGAACATCAGCAGGAGAGGGACTACGTTTAAAG